CCCAGGTGGATCTCGAACCCGCGGGCTCAGGCAATCCACTCACCTCAGCCTCCCAAAGTGTGGGATTATAGGCTAAGCCACTGAGCCCGGCTTAATTTTTTTTTTTAGTTATTCATTCATTTATTATTATTTGCATTGGGGTCTCATTTTGTCACCCAAGCTGGAATGCAGTGGGCACGATCACAGTTCACCATAGCCTCAACCTCCTGGGCTCTGACGATCCTTCTAGCTCAGCTTCCCAAGTAGATGTGACTACAGGTGTGCGCCACCACACCTAGCTAATTTTTAAATTTTTTGTAGCAACGAGGTCTCACTATGTGGCCTAGGCTGGTCTCAAACTCCTGGGCTTAAGCAGTCTTCCCGCCTCAGCCTACCAAAGTGCTGGGATTATAGGCACGAGCCATTCCGCCTGGTTTTTTTATTTTTCTTAGAGATGGGATCTCACTATGTTGCCTAGTCTGGTCTCAAACTCCACGGCTCAAGCAATCCTCCCACCTTGGCCTCTCAAAGGGCTCAGGTTACAGGCATGAGGCACCGCACCCAGTCTTCAATTACGTATAATTTTTATTTACATTTAAATAACCACATATGGCAGTGGTACTGTAGTGGACAGTGCCACTCCAGACTGTGAACAGTGGTACCAGCAGGAAGTGGGAGATGTGGGGAGGAAGTTCTCTTTCATGTTTTTACCTCAGCAACTTCTGAAATTCTTTGAATATTTGTTTTATTTTCTCAATGATGTATTTTTTGGACAAGTGCCTTTGCTACTTTTGTAAGTAGTATTTTATATACATCAAGTCTGGAAGTTCATTACCTCTAGAAAACAAAGTTTCCTGCTGTTACATAGAACTCGACCCCCCAAAATTTTTTTTTGAGTTGGAGTCTCACTCTGTCACCCAAGCTGGAGTGCAGTGGCACACTCACCGCCACTGCAGCCTCGACCTTCTGGGTTCAGGTAATCCTTCCCTTTTTATGTCAACTTTTTACTGAGCCATAATGTACAGACAAGGACAGGCATGAAGCTCAGCTGCATGAATTTTCCCACAGTAAACACCTAGGTGAGCATCAGCCAGATTGAGAACTAGAATGTGACCCGAGCCCAGAAGCCTCTCCTCACACCCCCACTCCCAAGGCACTCCCACTCCCTTCTGTCAACTTAGTTGTGGTCTGTCTTTGAACCTGATATAATGGAATCAACCAGTACAGACTCACCTGCACCTGACTTCTCTCAGCATTGGATGTTGCTGCATGTAGCAATGGCGCATTTATTCCCATGGCTGGATACAGTCTCCCTAAGTGACTAGACCACATGTCTCTTATTTGAGAGATACTGGGGTTGACTCTGAGGCCCTATCTCCTTGTCCTTCTTACCTCTTTTATAATTTTGTATTATAAAACAAGTATCATTGGCTGGGTGCAGTGGCTCATGCCTTAATCCCAGCACTTTGGGAGACGGAGGCGAGAGGATTGTCTGAGCCCACAGGTTCGAGGTTGCAGTGGCAGTGAGTGTGCCACTGCACTCTAGCCTGGGCAACAGAGTGAGACTCCAGTTCAAAAAAAAAAAGGAATAGGGCACCTGTGCCTGGGACACCTCACCTGGAAGTCTGAGCCAAGGTCTTTGGCCAGTAAAAGCTCCTTGGAGGGTCCCTGGGGGCCCAGCGGAGGAAGCGTGGAAAAGGGCCCCGACTCCCTGGCAGAGCCCCCGAGGCCCGTGCCTGCCTTCCGCGTGAAGGCATTGAGCTCCTGCTGCAGCACACTCAGCCGCACCAGGATGGCGTGGATGAGCTTGGCATCCCTGGGGCCCTCGCTGTTGTCCGGCGCCTCATGTAGCCGGAAGTCGGCACACTCATTGTCTAGACACAGCCGCAGGCCGGCTGAGAAGCCGTTGGCATCGGCCAACAGCACGTCGATGGCCTTGCTGACCAGGGCGGCCTGCTCCCGCAGCGCCGGCAGTGCCTCGGCCTCCCTGGCCCTGCAGAGCCGGGTGGCACGGGGCTCGTGCGCCTCGCCCAGCGGGGCAGGCACGCATTGGGCGGAGTCCCCGGCCTCGGCATCTGTCTCCAGCATGGGCCGTGTGCTCTGGCAGGAGGCCAGGTCGTAGCGCTGAAGGTTGGACAGCAGCACGCGGTTCTCGTACTGCAGCTTCTTGACCTTGCCGCTGAGCTCTCCGATCTGCAGCTTGGCGGCGGCCAGCTCCTCCTGGGACGGCTCGCTGAGCACCGAGCAGCTGTCCTCCGACAGCGCCACGTCCAGCTCGTGCTCTGAGCGGAACTTGGCCAGCTCAGCCAGCAGCAGCTTGTTCTGGTCCTCCAGCTCGGCAGAGGAGCGCCGCAGCAGCTCTGCCTCCTCCTCTACGAACTGCAGGTGTCGCCGCAGCTCAGCCAGGCTCTCCCCACACTCGCCGCCCAGCGCCGAGAAGGCCAGGCGTGCCTCGGGCCCCTCGCCGCTGCCGTGGTCCTTCATGTCGTCCATCTCGGCCCGCAAGCCCCGGTTCTCCACCTCCAGCTCCACGATGCGGCGGCTCAGCAGGTTGGCCTCCTCCTCCACCAGCTTCAGGTGCACCTTGAGCTCGGTCTCCCGCGAATGCGGAGCATCTGCCAGTTCCTCGGCGGACAGCGCACCGTCCAGGTCCCCGTAGAGTGAGCGGTACTTGAGCAGCTCCTCCTTCATGCTGTCGTTCTCCTTGGCCAGCTTGGTGAGCTTCTTGCACATGAGGGCCGACTCCTCCTTTGCGAAGTGCAGCTGGCACTTCAGGTCTGCGCTGTCCTCCTGGGGCCGGACGACACGACACGGGGAAGGTTAGGGCCAGCCATAGCATTCTAGGGTAGCACTCACAATGCTGGGGACACGGGAATAATCAGACACAGCCCAACCCTCACAGAGCTGGGGTCCAGGGGGAAGCAGGAGGGTTATTCGCAGCAAAGATGGGACACCACACAGCCCAGGCCCTAGAGCAGGTGACAGTCTCAGGGACAGGTGCTACTGCTACTACCATCCCAACTACAGCTCCCTTATCTGTAAAATGAGGCAATAACTGTCCCTCCCTCTCCCAGAGCCATGGAGAGGTTTAAAGGAGACACCATACGAAAAGGGGCTGGTACGCTGCAATCCAGTACCGGAGCTGGCCAGTGGTGCCCATAGTACTCCATCTAATTCTTACAACAAATCCACAAGGCAGGAACAGACCAGCAGACGGAGGCCAGAAGGTTGAAGTGACTTGCCTCAATCATACGGCAGTCAAGTGGCAGAGCCAAGATTCAGACCTGGGTCACTGAAGAGACCTCTGGATTTGATCTTGCTGTCTGTTAAACCAACTTGCTGTTCCTGGGGACGTCTGAGCGTCTAAGAACCACTCAGGGTATGGTTTGGGAAGTAGAGTGGGCTTGCAGTCAGGCTCAGGCCTTCAAACTAAAACCTGAGATGGGGTTTGGGGGAATAGACTGCCAGGAAGTACCTGCATCGAAGGTTTCTTGTCTGTCTTCCCCAGTGAGCGGGTCCCTCTTTTCTTCAAGGAATGCTGCAAGGAAATAGCAAAGTCACAGCTGAACGCTCACAAGAGTGAAGCACATTCAAAGGGCAACCGCGGTGCCCAGGGCTCCACTGAAGGCCCCACGGCCCTCCTTGGCCAGCCATGCCACAGACTTGGCCAGCACGCACCGGTGAGCCGGTGGGCCCCGGAGACCACGCAGGAGGCTGCAGAGGGGAGACAAGCCGGAGCACTGGTGATAGCTCTGCACACGCCACCCAGGGGTCCACCCCACACTGTGATGAAGGCGGCCTGGGCCAAGAGCTGGAGAGCTAGCTCTCTGTCCTTGCTTACCTTTCCTTTGTTCATCTAAGATTTCCTGAGCACCCACCACGTGCCAGGCCGTCAGGTACAGAGAACACAGTCATGACACAGGGCAAAGTACCCAAGGAGGATGTTGTGCTCAGTGCAGATCCTCTCCAGAACAGAGACACGCATTCCCCTGGCGAAGGCCTCAGAGCGGAACACCCTTCGGTGACAGCCACTGGCTGAGGGCAGCAGCCTTGTCAGTCAGGTGCTCCTCCTGGATAAAGCCCACATCCAAGACTGGTCCAGCCTGCCTGGTTCAACTCTAAAGGGCCATTCTTGCTCCAGAATTCCCTATGGGGTCAGTTGAGGCCACTGGTATGACTCAGCTTCCACCTCTGCCTCACCCCCAGGGTGTAATTTCCAGGGGACGCATCACAAACCTCGGCACGCAAATCTCCACCTCAGAGGGAATCCTGTCCTCATGAAACTGACATTTGACTAATGGGAACTTCAGTTCAGCATTAATAAGCAGAATGAAAGTGGGTGCAACGAGTCATAATTATACAGGTGGCCAGAAATGATCATCAGAGACTGGTGGCAAATAGCAATTCACAAATCCCGAAGCAACGGGGGAGAAATTGATATACTTAATGACACAAGTAAACTCCACATGGGAAAAACAAAACACCCAAAGAAAAGTAAAAAATATAAATGACAAACTGGGAAAAAACATTTGCACAAAGAGTTAACACCTTAGATATGTAAAGAGCTTTAGAAACAAAGACTAAAAAGGCCAACAAACCTATATGAAAATAGGCTAGAGATATGAAAAGCAGTTCACAGGAAAAAAAAGAAAACTGAATCCTATGCTTGGCCCCACTCAGGACTACACGGAGATACCATTTCTCTCAGATTGGCAAAAATTCAAATAACTGACAACATATACTACTGGGGAAGCTACAGAAAACAAGAACGTTTATAAATTGTTGGCAAGAATGCAAAATGGCACAAGCTCTACGGAGGGGAATTTGAGGAAATGTCATACAACAATTATAACTGAGGTTCCTAGCTGTTTACAAAAGTCACTGAATTAGATGCATGACTCCGCTGAACACTTCCTCCCAAGGGAGGGGCGATTTATGTTTATGCATGAAACCATGCTTAGGATGCTTTCCACTTTGCAAGCTGGACTGGTATATTTTTGAAAACGGTCCTGGGTGATTTGGATGCATGCTCATCCCTGAAGGTGAGAGCCTTGGATCTAATCCAAGCCCCATTTTACTGAAACCAAGAAGGTCCCAAGCAAACCCATAGCTGACCTGTGACCTTTTTTTCATTTGTGTTTGAGTTGGAGTCTTATTCTTCCACCCAGGCTGGAGTGCAGTAGCACACTCACCGCCTCCCCAGCATTGACCTGCTGGGCTCCGGTGATCCTTCCGCCTCACCTTTCCATTTTTTTTTTTAAAGTCAAGGTCTCACTCTGTCACCCAGGCTGGAGTTCAGTGACGCAATCCTGGCTCACTGCAGCCTCAACTTCCTGGGCTCAGGTGATCCTTCTGCCTTAGTTTCCCAAGTAGCTGGGACTACAGGCGTGTGCCACCACCACTCCTGGCTAATTTTTTAAAAAATTTTTTGTGGACACAAGATCTCACTATGTTGCCCAGGCTGGTCTCAAACTCTTAAGCTCAAACAATCCTCCTACCTAGGTCTCCCAAAGTGCTGGGATTATAGGCAGGAGCCACTGCTTTTGGTCAGCTTTTCCAAAGACCCCGTAGGAGAGCAGGTGCTTTCTTTTATGAGAGCCACAGCAGAGCTAGCACTGTGGTTCCCAACCTGGGTGCACATCAGAATCACCTGGGGGAAATTTTTAAAAATACTGATGGTCTGGCATAGGTCGCAGACATCAGTATTTTTAAACAGCTTCCCAGGTGACACAGCACAGTCGGATCCACAGTGCCAGGAAAAGGTGCTCCAAAAGGGCTCCGAAATACAGAATTATCTTATAAACCCCAATAATTCTAAAGAGACCTTTTGAAATGCAAATACAGCAGGAAGGTAGAGGCTGATATTTCACACTGGGGTATAAGGAGACAGGAGCCAGTGTTTCAGAAGAGCTGACCTGGGAACTTAGTTGCAACGGGAAGAGGAGGGAATGCTGGTGAGGGTCCCAAAACTCGTTCTTCCACAAGAGCCAGGAGGCAGCAGACAAGCACAGGTAGGACCCTGGATGAGGTGCACAGAGGTAGAGGCCCCAAATTCAGGCCTACCTAGCACAAACTGAGTGGGAAGGGCTGTGGTCTCAACTGGGAGTTGCCCCGGGGACCTGGAAACTGAGTTTAAGGTCCTAGGTGAACCCCTTCCTCTCCCTGAAACTCCATTTTCTGATCTATAAGACTGGGCCATGGTTTAGGTGACCACACCTCTTCAAGCTCTGCAGATTCCCTAGAGGAAGGAAGTGAAAGGAGCCAGGGAGCCTCCAAAGGCAATTTAGGGGTCCCAAGGAATGAGGTGGCATAAAGTCATTCAGAAGGATTGAAGGATAATGAGATTCACTACATGGTCAAGTCTCTCAGACACCCTGTTAAGGGTGAGTAACCTGCAAAACAAAACTACAACCCAAATATGTCTACCAACTGAAGAATGGAGAAGGAAAATGTATCCATCCACACAATGAAAGAAATTAGATCCTGGCTGGGTATGGTGGCTCGTGCCTATAATCCCAGTCAGCACTTTGGGAGGCTAAGTCAGTCGTATTGCTTGAGCCCAGGAGTTCAAGAGCAACCTGGGCAACATGGTCTCTATTTAAAAAAAAAAAAAGCCGGGCTCAGTGGCTCAGCCTGTAATCCCGCGCCTTTTGGAGGCTGAGGTGAGTGGATTGCCTGAGCCTGCGGGTTCGAGACCCACCTGGGCAACTTGGCAAGATCTCATCTCTACAATAAATCAAAAATTAGCCGGGCGTGGTAGCGCACACCTGTAGTTCCAGTTACTCGGAAGGCTGAGGCGGAAGGATCGCCGGAGCCCAGCAGGTCGAGGCTGCGGTGGCCAGGAGCGGCCACTGCACTCCAGTCTGGGCGACAGAGTGAGACTCCACCTCAAAAAAAAAAAAGTAAAGTCCTAACACAAACTACAACATGGATGTACCAGTAGAATACCATGCTAGGTGAAGTAAACCAGTCACAAAAGGTTATATGATTCCATTTACATGAAACGTCCAAAATAAGCAAATCCACAAAGGCAGAAAATAGTACTGGCTGCCAAGAGCTGAGGGAGGGTGGATGGGAAGTGACTACTGGTGGGTTTCTCTCAGGGGAGACAAAAATATTCTGGTTTTAGGGAGTGGTGATGGTGGCACAATTCCACGAATACACTAAAAATCAGTGAACTGGTCAGGCACAATGGCTCACACCTGTAACCCCAGCACTTTGGGAGGCTGAGGCAGGAGGACTGCTTGAGCCCAGGAGTTCAAGACCAGCCTGGGCAACATAGTGAGACCTCATCTCTACAAAAAAAAATTTAAAAATTAGCCAGGAGTGGTGATGCACGCCTGTACTTGGAGTCTAAGGAGGGTGGATCCCTTCAGCCCAGGAGTTCAAGGCTACAGTAAGCTGTGTGATCATGCCACCAGGCTCCAGTCTGGGCAACAGAGTGAGATTCCAACTCAAAAAAAAATTTTTTTTGAGCCAGGCTCTGTAGCTCAGCCTGTAATCCCGTGCCTTTGGGAGGCTGAGGTGAGTAGATTGCCTGAGCCTGCGGGTTCGAGACCTGCCTGGGCAACTTGGCAAGACCTCATCTCTACAATAAATCAAAAATTAGCCGGGTGTAGCAACGCGTGCCTGTAGTTCCAGCTACTTGGAAGGCTGAGGCGGAAGGATTGCCGGAGCCCAGCAGGTTGAGGCTGCGGTGGCCGGGAGCAGCCACTACATTCCAGTCTGGGCGACAGAGTGAGACTCCAACTCAAAAAAAAAAAAAGATTTTTTTTTAAACCAATGAACTATATGAGTTACAAGGGTAAACTTCATGATATGTGAATTATGTCTCAAAACATTTTTTACTGAAAAAGACAAAACCCACAGCATGTTATCATGGTTATAAAAATATGAAGTGTGTGTTTATGGGTGTTTGTGTATGTATGGGGGGAGATCTGAGACTTTACAGAGGCTGTTAACAGTAAGAATATAGGGGACTTGTACCCTGGACTCTCCGCCTCACCTTTTCTGAAGGGTGGGGGATAGAGAATATGGTCTTCCAGATTTTTTCCTTTAAAATTTTTTAAAACTACACAATTTTTTTTTTTTTGAGTTGGAGTAATCTTACTCTATCGCCTAGGCTGGAGTGCTGTGGCATGCATGCTCACAGCCACTGCATCCTGGACCTGCTATGCTCAGGTGATCCTTCCACCTCAGTCTTCCAAGTAGCTGGAACCACAGGTGTGAGCCACCATGCCCGGATAAGTTTTTTAAATTTATTGTAATCCACTCACCTCAGTCTCCCAAAGGCGTGGGATTACAGGCTGAGCCACCGAGACCTCATCTCTACAATAAATCAAAAAATCAGCCGGGCGTGGTAGTGCATGCCTGTAATTCCAGCTACTCAGAAGGCTGAGGTGGAAGGATCGCCGGAGCCTAGCAGGCGAGGCTGCAGTGGCCGGGAGCGGCCACTGCACTCCAGTCTGGGTGACAGTGAGACTCCAACTTAAAAAAAAATAAAATAAAATATTGTAGAGGTGAAGTCTCATCAAGTTG